GGGGAAGGGGGTTAGACAAATAAGTATTGTGGCTCCAAAGCTAGGTCTTCCTTACGATTGTGCAACTCCTAACTTCCAATACTTGGCTAAATAACTGGATAATTCGACTTTGAGAATGAAGCAAGCTGTTAACTCCTAACGTTAATAACAAATTCACATAGGTTGAAACAAAAACCCAAGGATTGCGAGCTTCCACCTCGTGCCTGTATGTGGAAAAATTCGTAGTAAAAGAAATGAAGAAAATTTTTGATTTGTATCCCTTTGATCTCAATTACAATTGGATTCCGATTACAAAAGAGAGGAGAATGAATTTGATTCTCCCCTTTGTTTAAAAATTAGGTTCTTCAAGGTAGCGATGGAATACCTCATTCGAATGCCTGCGTCGAATTTGCTCTCCGTTGACGATCCGACCGTCCTATCTCACGAGAACAATTAACTTGTGTGACAAGTTTGATTTAGAACTCTTAACGAGTTTAAGAACTCAGAATGAGTTGAAAACTCTGAAAAGAGTTGTTGAAAACCGAATAATCGGTTAGTAACCAAGTGGATTTGTTGTTGATGAAGAATTCTCCAAAATTTGATTTACTCACTGTCAAGCAGTTCCTTGATCTCCAGAAATCTCACCCTCTCCGCCAAAGAATTCAACCTTGTGCGGTTTTTTGATCTCCAAATCTTCAACCCCTTACTCAGTTGAGTAATGCGGTTATTTATAAGCGGATAAGGGGTGTAACCAACCCCTAAATCCGCTCCTAAGTGGGCGAAAATCCCTCAAAACGTGGGATAAACGGTTTTGAGGCCGTTCAGCTCGTGTTTGAACGAGTCAAACGTCTAAATTGGCGTTCTGGGCCTTAACTCTGCGTCTTAGACTTGAGACGTAGAGTTATATATCCGCTAAAGATTGGAAACGCACAGGCCGCTTGCGTTCTGAGTCTTAACTCTGCGTCTTAGATTTTAGACGCAGAGTTAAGTGTCTGCTAGGAATTTGAGACGCACGGGCCGTTTGTATGCTGAATCTTAACTCTGCGTCTTGGATTTGAGACGCAAAGTTGGGTGTTTGCTGAAGAACGCACAGGCCGCGTGCGTTTTGAGTTCAAGAAGCGCAAAGGTTGACTCTGCGTTTGGAAGAGGTTGTTGACTTGTAACCTCTTCTATTACAGCATTGCGAAGACTATTGCTCGTTGATCTTTGCTTTAGCTGTTATGGAGCGTGAAAGTCGTCAGATTGTAACTCTCACCGTTGATTGTAAAGGCTACTGAACAGAGTTTTCACCAGTTATCGGAAGTGTCATTGAATTGTAACTATTCTCGATCTATGTGAAAAGTCCTTCATTTGCAGCTTTCATTTGTTGACATGAAAGTCATCTGATTGTAACTTTTGTTGTTGAAGCTTGATGGGGATCAGCTATCTATTGTGATTTTTAGACAGCCTACAGTGCCATCAAACAACTCAAAGCTTCTAAAATTCTTACTGTTATACTGCTTTTAAATTTTTCTCAAATAACTCCAAAATATTCACCTTTCAACTAGTTTCATTTCGATGATTAAAATATAGGTAGCATAGCTTATTGAAAATACATGAATCCTATCTGAATAATTCAACTCCAGGTTCCTATCACATAATGTCATACAATAATTATCATATCAGTATCTTATTGAATGGGAAAAAAAAGGATGGGTACCATGCAAGCTAATGTAGGTGGCTATATCATAGTTGCTGCAAGTTATAATTAAACAATCAATATAAAATTCAGTGTTAACAAGCATTTTAGACTGTTATCATGAGGCCAATAAGAAAGAGCATATAGCTTATACTCTTCCCCCAATAAGAAAGAGCATATAGCTTATACTCTTCCCCCAATAAGAAAGAGCATATAGCTTATACTCTTCCCTTAACTGAATTGGATCTTAACAAATTAGTTCAAAGAGAATTAACCTCATACTTAAGACTATAGGCTCCAATTTACTACATGAGCTCCAAATATCTAACATTTATCAAGATATATAGCATTTTCCAGTTCACCTAAACATAAGCCTCTCAAGTGGGAAGCACAATCTAAGTCGCACAAACTCCCCCAATAAACTATTTAACATTTGATGCTCTAAATGTTAAGTGACTGAAATTTCTCAGCAAAGTTTGCGTATTTAGCAATCAAAAGTGACGAAGATGTCAACTTAACTAGGAATTATTCACGGAATAATCGAAACCATAAAGAAATGGGTAAAAAAAGGAGCCCTAATTTGAGAAATGGCAACGAAAAGTTACACTTACACGAGGAAGACAAGGCAAAGCTAGGGCTTTTCGTGTTACTTGAAACGAGAATGCTTGACGCTTGGCCACTTAAGAAAGAAGTGGACGCCATGGGAGAGAATCGAGATCTTGAGAGAGAGAGAGCGAGAGAGCGAGCGCGAGAGGGAACGAGATCTTTTGAGGTAGAGGATAGAATGAGTATTTGACGATAGTGCCCTCCATTTCTAAAGTAATTCTTAATTTATGACTTTTTCTTTGATAAAATTGTAATTGTACCGCGTAATATAAGTTGTAACCGGCCACGAGGTATGGGTTGCCCTAGCCCAATCTAATTTTGTCTGTCCCTTATATTTAAAATTTGGTACCAACAATAACGATAAAAATGAATACATATAATATCATTTAGCGTTCTATATTGGGCTAAAACTGATAATATTCTCTTGCACAATCAATATTCATATAAGAAAAAATTACATTTGTGCTACAATTTAATTCAAAGAAAAACACTTCTCCTTGAATTTTTTGAAACGAATTCTTTAATTAAGTCATCATACTCGAGTTTCTCGAAGTATTCATTTTTAATTGATATCATTGCCAATTCATTCAATCAATCATGTGATATGGTAATGTGAAGATAACATATATGAAATCACAACAATCAACTAAATTGATGCCGGAAAGAAGACTTAGCAATATCATTATTATTAAAACAATCAAACAATTAATCTAGATAGCAATCCAATAATATGATATCATTATTATTAAAACAATCAAACAATTAATCTAGATAGCAATCCAATAATATGAATGTCATCAAATCAAAGTTAAATTGAGATTATAATTAAAACCAAATAGAAATATATCAGATTATCGTCCATTAGGATTTTCGAGTTTTAGATGACTAGAAGGGAGATGAACTTTTTAACAAGTAAATATTATTTCCTCTTTCTATCTTTTAACTTTGATAAGCTTCTTTTAAACTTATGGAGGCCGTGAGAAACTAGTCAGAAGGCATAATTGTGCCACCCAAATAGCTAAATCAAATCTAATTTCCAGTTTCAAAACAAAAACCTAGATGAAACCGCCCAAACATTATAACCTCTAATTCAACAACTAATATTCAGCCAAGATCCAAAATTAGAAATCTTAATTTCATTGCAAAACATCAAAACCCCAAATTTCCGTCCAAAAAAAGGACAAATTTTCAAAACCATCCCTTTTTAAAATTTATTTATAAAAAACGATCCATTTCAACTTTAATTACAAAAACAGACCCAGTTGGATGAAACTGGGTCTGTTTTTGAAAAAAAAATTTCAAACTTCACGGGAGTTGAACTCCCGTGAAGTTTTGTTATGAGAAAAAACTTCACGGGAGTTCAACTCCCGTGAAGTTTGAAATTTTTTTTTTCAAAAACAGACCCAGTTTCATCCAACTGGGTCTGTTTTTGTAATTAAAGTTGAAAAGAGTCTTTTTTTGGGAATAAATTTCAAAACCGGATGGTTTTGAAAATGTGTCCTCCAAAAAAACCCTAAAATTATTTATTTAAAAATATTACCTGATTGTGTTTCTTTGATGGACCGATCGGCCGTCGGCGTCGATAAGTCGATTCAGATTCTCTCCGTCTTTTGGGTGACTGGATCGGACTGTCGGGGGAGGAGTCAACGGGGTGGTCCAAAGGATGAGAGCAGAGACGGGAAGGAGGAGTTGGAGGCTGACGGAACAGAGACGGCGGGACAGAGCGGTGTCTTCGTCAATTCAGATTCTCTCCGTTTTTTTTCTTTTTTTGTGAGAGGCGGAACAGAGACGAGAAGGAGGAGAGGAGGCTGACGAAAATAAAGGAGGAGTTGGGTAGGGCTTTGGGTATTAATAAGAGTTTTTTACTAATAGAACCCCTAAATTTTTTTGCATAAAAGTCCTCTTACAAAGTCCACTTCGAAAATTATTACGGTTTGAGGAGTGAAGGATGTAATCGCGATGGTTGCCCTGCTCCCCCCCCCCAGCCCTGGGTTGCCCCAGCCCCGGCCGGGGCTTGGTGGGCTTACCCCAGGGCCGGCCCTGACTGTGGACGAGTAAATATATATCGAAAATAAAATCTATTTTTTTAAGAAATAAGTCAATAGCCTTTTTTCTTCCCTATCCTTTTTCTCAATTTACCTCTTAGAGATTTCAAAGAGAGATGCTAGTTTAAGTTCATGAAATTGAGTTCATAAATATATCAATAGTATAGTTAGCAAAGGATGGAAATTGATCTTGAACATATAGCTTAATTAGAACATGCTTTCCATTTTCTCTCTTCTAACATCAACTAAGAAGCATTCTCCAAGGTTATTATAAATATATTCCTAACATGGAAATAGGTTCCCCTATCTCTCATGTGTTTTATGTTTACAAACAACTTCTTTGAGATTGCAATATTCCAACCAAACATATCCATCAAATTAATATAAACACATCTAATGATACCAGGTTATAAACCCCCTATAGCACTCCATCATTCACAACACATGAACATACATGAGTCACGCAAGTTGTCGAGATCGACAAAGTTCGATCGACTAGTAGCTTGCTCTGAGCTTCCTCGTCAACTTAGTCTCGCTTCGTCGTCCTCTCTCTACCTGCCCCTCCGTGATTCCTCTGCCAAATGCTTCTTTCCTCCGAAGTGTTGAATCATGACATCATCGCTGTTGCACTTTACGTTGCACAAAGTGCACCAAAGAAACACGCCTTCTTCAAGAACTTCATGCAGCTTTCCGTCGACAAGGAACATCACCTTACTACCTCCTTTCGGGCCTTGCTTGACTTGTCCCGTGGGCTTGTATGTCGGTGTGGGGCTGCGATCACGGCTTCCCTTCTGAAGTGATGCTGGCTCTGAAGATTTCTTGTTGGATTTGAGCTCAGCAACCTTTGCTTTGTGCTTCTTCCCTTTGAGATGGCTGTTGAGATCGTGCACGCTTGTTGTCCTGACTCCGCAGGCTGTACAGCTCCAGTTCTCTTGTGTAGGCGTTGGTGTGGATGAGGAGCGGTGATTATGGCTTTTGTTCTCGAGTAATGGCAGCTCTGGAGCTTTCTTGATGGAACTCAACTCAACAGCAACCTTTGCTTGATGCTTCTTCCCTTGGAGGTGGTCGTTGAGGGCCTTCTCGCTCGTTATGCTGACTTGGCAGAGTGCGCAGCTCCAGTCCGGCTTGAGTTTGAGGTTATTACTGGGTCCTGCGATTTTTCTAGGTAGCTTCCTCTTGGTTTCAGTGACTTTGTCGTTCGGCCCTTGTGTGACCTGTATCTGTAAGAGAGGGGGGAAAAAAGAGAGGGAGAGAGATGATAAAATAACAGGTTGCAGAACAGGTTGCAGGTTTGAGGGAAATGCATAGTACAGGAGATCGAACTCTCTTTTCACCTAAATAAAGCAATCGATTAATCTTTGATCTAGATGCATGGACAGTTTGGCAATTAGATACCTTAAAATGCGATACTTATTGATTGAAAGATTCAATAAAATGAGCGAAGGCCCTTATTTCCTCGAGAAAAAGAAAGAAGAAAAAAAGGTACTTCATCGGAAGACAGCACCGCCAAGGAGCAAAAAGGGTCAGTTATCAGCTCATGCAAATGATCATTCTTCAACAAAATCAACAGTATGAAGGCATCATTCTCATAGGAAGATCACACCCAACAAATTAAAATGAGTTCTTCATTGAGGAGTAACCGCAATAAAGTTTTTAGATACGACTGCTTCAATGTAGTAATGATAGCTAATTCATGCTTTTAAGTTGGAGTCGGTTGTGAGAAATAAAAAGACATGTTTTTATTAATAGTCTGTCACGTACGGTAGCTTATGAGTCAAGTCTTGGTAAGATAACAGCCTATGAAGGAGGCAAACATAATAGAAAATAAGGTGAAAAGATGATGAAATAAGTTTTTTTTTTTTTTGTTGAAAATGGAGATCTTGCTTTTGTAATTAGCTAGTTCTCCAGTTCGATAAATCTTTTCCTCATCTTGGTTAACTTCTAGGGTTAGGGTTCTGCGTCCATCCCTTTTTTACTTAAATTTTTTGTATTTTCTTACTAAAATAAGGATTTTGTGCTTGCAGGTGATTTTTTTGCGTTCAAAACAATTTTCTTCGCAAGATGGTAAGTGTGTCTTGATGAGAAAACTCTAATTTTCGTAATTTTCTATTGGTTATAATTATGTATAGATTGTTCAGTTGGCTTGTACTTTTCACTGCCTAAAGAAACTTCGTTAATAACTTGAGAGAAAAATTGAATATGTTGCTTGATGAGCAGACCAGCAAAGACTCACTTTCCTCATTTTTTTATTTACTTATCATTCTTCCATAAAAGATCAGCCTCCTTCATGGGCAAGTTAGATCATTAAATAGTGCCTTCACATCTTTAAATCTTGATTACTCTTACAAAAATCATAAGATAATTTAACGATATCTAAACTCCGATAATTAAAGCAACTATATATACCTGATAACCTCCACGGCAATGATAACTTTGACCATTCATTTAAGCATTCAATTTGCAACCGTTTACGTGTAATGCCTTAGTAATTAATTTGCCTAAGATATTCAATCCTAACATAGCTCAACCAATCATCTGCTTAATTAAATATCTTGTTTCAATGAATGGGGTATGGATCGAGTAGATAACCTGCGAAGGTTCACGGGACCTCCTGAGCTGCTCCGTCGTCACTGCACAAGAAACCTCCAAGTCATGCCTTGCTTCCTCCTCGAGCATCCTCCTCTGTGAGATCCTCAGAGTTAAGATCTCAGCTTTAATCCTCTCTGCGTAAAGCTCCTTCTCTAGTTCTTCTAACTCCGCCCTTGAACGCATTGGACCTTCTAATCCAATGCAACCTGCGAAAACCATGACCAAAAAAGAAAAAAAAAAGAAAAAGAAATATGGTTAAAGTTAAGAGACTAAAAAGATATATTGATCCCTGAGGAAATTAAAATTGATCTCATCGCGGGGAAAACTCAAACAAAGAAAATCAAGGAAAAGCCTCGTTTCCTCTGATTTTTATCTTCATCCCTGAGGGAAATTCCAAGTGAAAAAAAAAACTCAAAACATTCATGAGCTTCAAACATTTTTTGGAGTTGAAGTTGTTGGGAAGCGCGGGATGATTGGTTTACCTTTTCTCCTTCTCGTGTGGATAAAATGGATCACCACAGCAAATAATGAGCAGGGCACTAGTATTTTTAACATGAGAAGCTCTTCAACTGAAGGTAAAAATCCTAGAAAAACCTTCCACCATATGTACATGATACTAGATATTTGACTAGAGGTAACAAACAGGAAAGAAAAGAAGCAGACTTCCTTTACAGCGGAGGAAGAGCACAGAAGACTAAATCCTTTTTCTTGGTTAATTTTGCTGCAATTTAACCAGTCATATCAATTTATTCTTTCATCCTAGGTGGCAATAGTTGGTCAATTTGATTATATTAGGGGCTGTTTGTTTTGAGTATTTTGCCTCGGGGAGGGGGTGGAAAGCTGTCATTATGACAGCTTTCTCCCCAAAACGCCTATTAAAGAGGCGTTTTGGGGAGAAAGCTGTCATAATGGCAGCTTTCCACCCCCCCCCCCCGGCAAATTTTTTGGAGTTGAAGTTGTTGGGAAGCGCGGGATGATTGGTTTACCTTTTCTCCTTCTCGTGTGGATAAAATGGATCACCACAGCAAATAATGAGCAGGGCACTAGTATTTTTAACATGAGAAGCTCTTCAACTGAAGGTAAAAATCCTAGAAAAACCTTCCACCATATGTACATGATACTAGATATTTGACTAGAGGTAACAAACAGGAAAGAAAAGAAGCAGACTTCCTTTACAGCGGAGGAAGAGCACAGAAGACTAAATCCTTTTTCTTGGTTAATTTTGCTGCAATTTAACCAGTCATATCAATTTATTCTTTCATCCTAGGTGGCAATAGTTGGTCAATTTGATTATATTAGGGGCTGTTTGTTTTGAGTATTTTGCCTCGGGGAGGGGGTGGAAAGCTGCCATTATGGCAGCTTTCTCCCCAAAACGCCTATTAAAGAGGCGTTTTGGGGAGAAAGCTGCCATAATGACAGCTTTCCACCCCCTCCCCGAGGCAAAAAAACCAAAACAAACAGCACCTTAAGGCCCGTTTGGATGAGGTATTTTGCCTTCAATTATTGAGAGGAAAGCTGCTAAAATGGCAACTTTCCCCCAAAACCGCCTCTTCTGCTTTGAATCTCATTGGTTCTAGTGTACGCTCGCTTCTTCTGCTTGTTGCTCCCCCTTGCTTGGTCTGCCTTGAACAGAAGAAAAGTTTGCTTTTAATTTTATCGGTGAATGGGACTGCGCACCTCAAAATAAGGCGAGGTAGTTACAGGTCACTATTAGCTTAGCTAACCAGCTTTGACGATTCACCTTCTTTATATTTAACAAATTTTTTTTTTATGCGGGTTCGCCGACGACCCACACTTCTTGTCATAATTTAAAAAGAAAAAACGTACGCTTTCCTAGATGAAGGAATAAAAAGGTCAATGCAAATTAAAAAGGGAGGTGCTATAACCACTCCCTCGGGTACACCTCCGGCCATGATACCGCCTACCTACAGTACAGTGGGCCTTAAATCTCAAGTAGGGTCCACTGCATTGTAATTGTAACCAGAGGGGATGGTCAGAAGTGTGCTAGAGGGTGTACATGTACGCATAAAAAAGACAACAATCACCATAAGCAAAGCAATTAAACCCAGCGTATCAACATAAAACACAAAGGCATTAAAAAAAATCAATAATAATAATCTTACCGCGCATTGCATCATCGGCGCGTAGAGCGGTAGGATGCGGCGGAAGAAGAAAACAAGGGGGGGGGGCGGCGG